ACTAATACTACTACTACTACTACTACTACTACTACTACTACTACTACGACTACTATGGCTTCTAGTACTAGGTTGGTCTACCACTACCCCCATTACGACAATTACATCGTTCACTCGCACCTTCCATGGACGAACTTTTTGATTCCCGCTTACGATGATCCCCGGTAGTTTCCCGAGATGAGCTCCCCCCAGGAGGACTTGAAAAATCTGCTGCACAAAATTTGTTGCAAGAATTTTGCAAGTGTCGGGGACTTTGTCGTTTTTCCAAAGTCCTTCCTCCATTGCCCATCCCCCAACGCTATGATACTCGTTGCTTTTACCATAACTGCCGCTACCACTACGACGACAACTTCTACGACTACTACTACTACTACTACTACTACTACTACTCCTGCTGGCGACTACGGCTATTATTGCTAGTTCTGCGACCATTTTTCTCATTTCAATTACTACTACTACTACTACTACTACTACTACTACTACTACTACTACTACTACTACGACTACTACTACTACTACTACTACTACTCATACTACTACTGATACCACTACTAATACTACCACTGCTACGCCTACTACAACTACTACTACCACTACTACTTTTACGACTACTGCTACTACTAGTGCTACGACTTCTTTCCCTTCTTCTACTACTACTACGACTATTACTATTACGACTACTACTACCACTATTACTACTTGTACTACTACTCCTACTACTACTACCACTACTACTAGTATTACTACCAGTACTACTACTACTACTACTATCACTACTACTACTTCTACTACTACTACTACTACTACTACTAATAATACTATCGATATTACGATTACTACTACTACTACTACTACTACTACTACTACTACTACTACTACCAGTACGACGACTACTACTACTACTACTACTACTACTACTACTACTACTACTACGACTACTACTACTACTACTACTGGTGCTGCTGCTGCTGCTACTACTACTACTACCCCCACTACTACTACTACTACTACTACTACTACTACTACTACTACTACTACTACTACTACTACTACGACTACGACTACGACTGCTACTACTATCGCTACTACGACCACGACCACCACTACTAGTACTACTACAACTGTTGTTACCGCTAAGTTGTTTTTTCCTGCTATTGTGATTACCCTTGCTACTATTATGATTACTTCAACTATGGCTACTACTATTATTATTACTACTATAAGTAATATTACTACTACGTCCACTAACACCACGAATAGCATTGCCTTTTTTATTATTACATCCACTACTCCTATTATTGTTACTGCTACCAGTAGTACGACTACGACAATTACTTCTATTGCCAGGACTACTACCACTACTACTACTACTACTACTACTACTACTACTACTACTACTACTACTACTACTACTACTACTACTACTACTACTAACTACTACTACTACTACTACTACTACTACTACTACTACTACTACTGACTACTACTACCAGTATTACTACTACTACTATTACTACTACTGCCACTACTACTACTACTACTACTACTACTACTACTACGACTACTACTTCTACTACTACTACTACTACGACTACAACTACCACTTCTACGACGACATTTACCACTATTGGTACTACTATAACTACGGCTACTACTATTACTACCACTTATTAGTACTACGACTACTACGACTACTACTATTACCATTACTACTACTACTACTACCATCATAACTGCCACTGCTACTACTACGGCCAGTACTACGACTACTCACACAACTATTAGGCTTAATGCTATTACAACTACAACTACTACTAATATGTGTACTACGACTACGCGTAGCACCACTACTCTTACTAAGGCTATCTCTTCATTATTATCACTACGACGACTACGACTACTATTACGACTACTACTATTGTTACTACTACTACTACTAGTACTACTACTACTACTACTACTACTACTACTACTACTACTACTGCAAATACTACTGCTACCGCTAGTACTAATACTATTAGTACAACTGCGATTACGTCGATTACCACTGATAGTACTACTACTACTACTAAAACGGCTTCTTCCTTTACTACTACTAATATCACCACTACTAGTATGACTGCGGTTATTGCCAATACTTTTATTACAACTGCCACTACTACTACTACTACTACTACTACTACCACCGCTACTGCTACTACTACTACCTCTACTACTCCCATTATTACCAGTACGTGTATCAACAGTACTACTACGACTGATGGCACTAGTTTTAGTCCTACTACGACAACTACTACTATCACTACGACTACTACACTACTACTATACTACTACTACGACTACTTCTACTACTACTACTACTACTACTACTACTACTACTACTACTACTACCACTACGACTACTACTACTACTACTGCTACTACTACTACTACTTCTACTCCTGCTAGCACTGGTAGTATGACCATCAAGATTATTACGACTACTACTAGTACAACTACT